CACTCCCAGCACTGGGAGGCAGGTGGATCTCTGTGAGTTTGAGGCCAGCCTGGCCTACAGAGCGAGTTCCAGGACAGCCAGGGCTGTTACACAGAGAAAGAATTTCCATTCATTTGTTCATGATTGCTTTTGTGGTTCAGCAGTGCCATTTGGTTTGTTGTGCCGAGGTCGTCGTGTGTGTAAAAAGAGAGTCAGGGACTGCCAGGAGTAGTTTTCCATGAAAAAGACAGTTTGGAAACGAGAGCATTTAGGAAGACACAGGTATAATTACAGACGAGGCAGCCAGACCCTGGTCGGCTTGGGTCACAGTTTCTCATTGGAGAAGTAGCTGGTTTGGACAGTGTCCACTGGAAACTCAAGCCTTTGACCTCAACATAGCCAATAGGGCTTCAGGGAGTCTGGCATCTCTGTCCCTGTCTCCCATCTGTAAGTGTTGCATGGGCAGAGGGAAGCTCACATCTGTTTCCTCTTGCAGTTTATTTCTAGTCTCCCCATCTCAGACAGTTACTTTCTGTGTGCCATGTATGTGCATGTGTGCCCTGGTGCAGGCCAGCAGTCAGCGCTGGGGTTTTTCACTCTCCACCTTATCTTTTGAGACAAGGTCTCTCACTGAATGCAGAGCTCACCTATTGGCTGGCCTGGTTGGCCAGTGAGCTCCAGGGTCTGCTTGCCTACATGGGCACTGGGGATCTGAACCCAGTCCTCAGGCTCTTTACCTGCTGGACTGTCTCTCCAGCTGCCACTCCCACCTCTTCATTTTTAAAGGGAGGCACTTTATTTTCCCAGGGTATCTGCCTTCTGTTTTCATTAACATCAAAATGGTGGGGTTTTTGTTTGTGTTTGTTTATTGTAAGGAAATGACTTTTTTCTCTGAGTTATATGACTATTAAAACGAATCAAGTGATTTTAAAAAATCAAGTGGCAGTTCAAAGTAGAAGGAGTTTGAAGTTGAACTGATTCCACCAGGACAGGATGGCCCCGTTAATTAACTCAGAAATGTCCTAGACAGCCTGCCTCAAGCTCATGGGCAGAAGTAGCCATGCAAATGGGGCCCTGATAAAAGTGTCACACACCGCTCATTTTCCCGTAGGAGGAAAAGGAAGCTGAAGTGAAACCGAGAACATTTTCAAAAATGGTTCTTCACCACAGAGAATGATTTCCTGAAAAGTTTTCTTTATGGTTAAGAAAAAAGATGGGCCGTGGGAAAAGATCAAGGGGTCGGGCCCCTGCTGGTCTCAGTTCGATTGTGTCTTAATGTCTGTCATGAGGCTGGGGATGTGAACAACTTGGATTCTTTTTAAGCCTGACATTTGCTAACGTGGCCTTTCCTCTGTTCATATCCATTACTGGGCCAGCGTGGCCCTGCTGAGCTTCCCTGGTCCCTCCATCCTGTCCCCAGCCTCCGCCAGAGTTACAAAAGCTAAGAAAACGTCTACCTGCCCCCAGCACTCCCAACTCTTGTCCTTGATGCCATTGCCTCCTGGAGGTGGGGACGTTCTCTGGGTAGCCACTTAGATTTGCTGTTATTTGTTGACAGAAACATCAACTGGCCCAAAGGGTATATAAAAAAATACAGCCAGTTTAACAGCCCGCCTGTCATCATTGGAAGTTTGTTTGTCGGCTTTTATTGGTGGGTGGCTTTGGTGTAGAGACCTGTCAGATGATTGTCTTGTTTTTAGTATAGGCTTCCTTGTATTTTCTCCCAGGACTTAGTACTATGTAGGGCAAGTGATCCTGACGGTTCCCTGTGGGAACAGGATATTTTTGTATTTGCATTTTATAGAGAACAAAAGTGGTAAGTCTCAGCTTAGCCCAATGTTGGGATCCCCTGAGAGTTTGGAAAAGTTTCTTTGCCTAGGTAGGTGGTTGGTCTGGATTTAGGGTGTGTGTGTACCTGGAGCTTCATGCATGCTCTACGACTGAGCTGTGCCCCAGCCCACAGGCACTGGACCTTTAAGACACTTAGGCGAGTACTTGAATGTCACCTTTCCCACGCCCGCCTCATGACCCTGAGTCCACTGTGTTCCTTCTGCTAAGAACTTCGAGGGACAATCTGCTTTGGAAACTACCCACAGTGTGTGACCCCACATGCTCCCAGATAGGCTTAGACTCAAGTGACATTCTTAGAGAGCTCAGCAGGCACACAGACTTTTGCAGTACAATGCCCTGCGTCCCTTGACAAGAGCTCACTTTTTCCTACTCCATATTTTGTTTCCCATTGCATTGTTTGGTGGTAGATGTGAAACCCAGGGCCTTGCACACGATTAGCCAGCAAGTACTCTGGATCCCCAGCCTTGTTCCGCAATTGGGAATTGGCCTCGGATGAATTTTGGTTTGTTCTGTAAGGGCGAGGGTGCGCACTGGTGGATCAGCAGATTTCACTGAATGGTCCCTGTATGTTGGGATCTGTTGTGGCAAGACCATCCAGCAGCTTGGATTTTGATGGGACTGGACAGATGGTGAGCATGAAGAGTGGGTGGGTGGCTGTGAGGTTAGAACAGTTAGGCACCTTTGAGCCCCCTACAGTGTGAGTTCTCAGCTGGTGGGGACGGGGCAGGAGTGGCCTTATGGAGAGGGAGAGGGCAGATGCCACAGTTCCATTGATGCCGGTTTCCTTAGGAGTTTTTCTGTTTTATAAGTTTTCTCTGCCCACCTTAGGCCTGGAAGATGGTGACTTTTCAGCAAATGCTTACAGAACTAAAAATTACAGTTTCAGTATTGACCTGTACAAGCCACATGACTATGGTGGTTCATGGTGTCTTGATCTCCATGCTTGGGAAGCCAGGGCAGGACGATTGTGAGTTTGTGGCCAGTCTGGCCTACACAGTGCGACCCTGTCTCAAAACAACAAACAGAAAGAGTAACATAACAGTATAGGGCAGCAGACCTGGTAGCCATGTCCTGGTCCTCACCTTGGCCTTGAATGTGGCCCCTGCCACTCATGAGGCAACACCAGTGGGAGGAAAAGAAAGACCCACAATAGCTTGTTTGCTTATGACCAAGCTTGATTTTGGCATAACTATAGATTCAATTGTTAGACATAAGAATTGTGTCCGTTCACCTCATCCCTCGGTGGTAGAATCTCACAGCCAGGGTATTGATCCTGATCCTGATAGGATATAGAATAGAGACTTCTGTCACCAATCAGAGGCTGTCTGCTCACAACCCTCCTTCTCTCACAGACCTCACATCTCTCCCTTTGATATTTGAGACTACTGCACTCATGGAGTCATAGAATACGTGGCCCTTTGGGGTTGGCTTGTTTTTTACTCCTTGTGATTCCGTGGGGTTTTGAGTTGTTTTCGCCCTTTTCATTGCCAAATAGTATTCAGTGTTGTGGATGTGTCACAGATGACTGCTCTTGTGCTTCAAATTTTAGATGATTTTAAACGAATCTACTGGGAAATTCAATTGCAGAGGTGTGTGTGTGTGTGTGTGTGTGTGTGTGTGTGTGTGTGTGTGTGTGCACCAGCTTTTGTTTCTCTGGATGAATGCCCAGGAGCAGAGTTTCTGGGTCAAAGATATTTCCATGTTTAGTTTCATATAAAGTACCAGAGTGGATGTACATGGTTTATTTTCCTTTGTTCTACCCAACAGCTTAACAATGGAAGGAAAGAGTCAGGTGGCCATCAGTACGGAGCCCACAGAGAGCTCAGGGTGTCTCTGGGGTAGCTGGGGCACAGGAGCCCTATCTGCCTCCCAGAGACCCTCCTTAAAGTACTGTCTTCCATTGGCGCATTCTCCCTGCTTGCTTAAGCAGGAGAGAGAGAGTGTGTCTCCATGCCACTGGCCTTGGGGATTCTGCTGGCTCTTGTTTTACTGTGTTGAGAGGGGGAGTCAAGTGGCTTGTGACTGGGGTCCTCTCTGATTTCAGAACAGTTGGTCTTTAGGGCCTGTGGTCCTCACTCATCTGCCTCTGTGTCTGCTGAACAAATGCCTCCTGTGTGGTGATCAGGGACCCCATATTCAAGGGCTTTTCCTTTGTTCTGGGAGTTTCCCATGCCTGCTGTGTGTGTCTTGCGTGTAAGTGTGCTGGGAGCTGTGCAAGCACCTCTGTGTACCTGGTACATGGTGGGGAGCAGAGGACCATATACAGAATATGAAGAGGAAGGAAGTCCTAGCAAGAATAGCCTGGGTGGGGCGGCAAAAAAAATATTAAAGGGAAAATAAATGCCTGGGTGCGGTTGAATAGCTGCTGGAAGAGATGCAGACATGTCGCCTTGGTGAGGGGTTGAACTTAACATGCAGAAAGTAGGCAGGCCATGTAGAGGAAGCATGTCACGAGTGAGGAAATGGGGAACTAGAGGGTAGATGTATTTGTTTCTTGTTTTTCTCTTTAAACAGACTGTGGCCAAGCTTTGTCCTTAACCATTTCACAGACCTCCCACCACAAGGTCCATACAGCCAGCTTTTGATATCTGTCAGTCAGATAGCCCTGAGTCAGTGAGGGGAACTCTTGATGGGCACAGTCAGCCCCTTTCCCTTTGGGCTGGCTTTGCTAAAGGGGAAGACCCAGGAGAGCTGCTGGTGGGCGTGGGAAAGCTGGGAGAAGCGGTCACTGCAAACATAATTCTCTCTCTGCCGGCTGGGCTTCTTTGATCTGAGGCTGATGATGAAGCACATGTTGATATCCTGCCAACTTAGACCTCTCTGATAAAGTGGCCCTGATTTCCTCTGCAGCAGCAGGAGCTTGCTCCGGACAGCCCAGCCCTGCACCTTCCCAGCTGTTTGCTTCTGCCAGCACAGCAGCAGCTGTACAGAATGCAAGTCACAGTGCAGCCATTGAAGCTAAAGCCCTGTGTGGAACCATGGGGGAGGGAAGTGGGCTTACCCTTTGTGAATGGGGAGAGCACCCACAAGAAGGCGGAAGGGGCTGGAGTCTGCTTGGCTGTGTCTGCCCAGCACAGGGGGGGAGGCTGATGTGGCCTTGGGAGGGGCCACACAGGACTTGCCCATAAACTAAGTACTGTGGGTCTCACCAGCCTGTGTGTTTCTTGCAGACGCAGACTGTTCAGCTTAACAAAGAGATGACATTGGCTAGCAACCGGAGCCTGGCAGAGGAAAACCTTTTGTACCAGCCCCAACTGGATGCTCGGAAAGCTCGTCTGACCCAAAAATACCAGGAACTCCAGGTTCTCTTTGAGGCCTATCAGATAAAGAAGACCAAACTAGGTAACTTTCTCTCAGGTGATCTTTTGAGACTGACAAGTTGAAGGAAGACTGGGTGGTGTGTGGTGGTGCACTCCTTTAATCCTAGCACTGAGGAGGCAGAGGCAGATGGATATCTGTAAGTTTGAGGCCAGCCTGGTCTACAGAGGCTACACAGACAAAACCTGTCTCAAAAAACCAGGGAGAAAAAAAGTTGAAGGACAACACATAATTCAAGCAATACCCTACCAAGAAAATACCATGAAAAAAATCAGGTCACGACAATGAGTCTGCTGTAACAAGCAATAGTTTATGTATAAATCACCCTGCTGGCTTAGGGAAGAGCCCCTTTCTAAACTGAAGACTACACCTGCTCTAGATAGCATAGAAGAAAAGGCAGCCTTCTGAATCACGGTAGCCAGCCAGTGCTTCAGTGTGTGTGTGTGTGTGGCTAAAATGGCCAAAGAGCCTTATCGCTGCAACATCATGCTGAGATGTCACGGTGAGCTTCACCTTTATGCAGACAGAGGGACTGAGTGTGTGCGCAAGTGTGTGCATGTATGTTGGGAGAATGTCTTATGCAGCCTTTGTTGGACATGAACCCTAGCCAAGGACAACCTCCCTGCTTCTACCTCCCAAGTGCTGGGATTGCAGGTGTAAAGCAGCTCACTTCAGTACTTCTGACTGTTCCGTGGACATTAGATTAAGAGGCTTTAGGGCTGGAGAGATGGCTCATAGGTGAAGAGCACTGGCTGCTCTTCCAGAGGACTCTGGGTTCAATTCTCAGCATCCATATAGCAGCTCACAACTGTCTGTAACTTCAAGATCTGATACATAAAACAAAAATAAAGGGGTGGGAAGACCATGGGGAGCCAGGTGTGATGGTTCGTTGCCTTTAATCCCAGTACTTGGGAGACAGAGGCAGGTGGATGTCTGAGTTTGAGGCCAGCTAGTCTACAAAGCGAGTGCCAGGACAGACTCCAAAGCTACACAGAAAGACCCTATCTCAAGAAAACAAAAACAAGCAAAAACAGATTGATTTTTATATAAGTGTCTATGTGAATGTATGTTACCTAACATGGGTACTAGGAACTGAACCCAGGTCCTCTGGAGGAGCAGAAAGAGCTCTTAACCTCTGAGCCATCTCTCCAGCCCCTCATGTGTTTGTTAATCTAAGATCTAAGGCTTGAGTGTGTGCTAGATTAAGTCATCACTTGAAAGTGGGACTCTGGTAAGAGAAGGAGGAGGAAACCTCCTTTGAATGGTCCCAGAGGCTGCAGGTGGTGGGTTTCAGGGGTTTAGCTGCCTGGGAGGTTTGGTGAGATTGTATCTTACAGTGTGATTGGTTAGGCTGCGGGTATGGCCCTGTGCTCTGAGGTGGGATGCTGGCCTGCTGTGTCTCTGGAACTTGTCCCCTGCCATCCCTCTGGTGTATTTGAGGCTTTACTTTCAGGTCCTGGGAAGTCTGCTTCTGTCACCTTTCTAGTTTATATGTCACCTTCTTAGTTACTTTTTCTAATAAAGGAAACTTCAAGGCATCTTGGTGGGATACGCTGCCTCGTGCCATCATACTTTTTGCTTTTCCAGATAAACAGTCAAACAGTGCTTCCTTGGAGACTCTGTTGGCACTTCTTCAAGCAGAAGGGGCCAAGATTGAGGAAGACACTGAGGTAGGCTGGATGACCTTAGTGGGGTACTGCAGGCTGCATTTCTGGGTCTCCTTGTCCAGTTAGTGGTGACTGGACCAGATGATGGTGTGCCTGCTGCTTTGTGAATCTCAGATGCCAGTGGCTGAGGCATCTGCTGTGGCCAGTGAGTCAGTCAGCTGGTCGCTGCAGAGCCTTCCAGACATGGCTGACTGGATACATGGCTGGAGCCTTGTCAGGGAGGAAATGAGTCAGTGCCCGTGCACATTGCTCAGGTCAGGCTGCTCTGGTCTGACTAACCATTAGTCTTGGTGGGCCCTGATAGCCACAAGCAGGGTTCTCTGCTGGTGACCCTGACCTGGGTGACTCATTTGGTCTGGGTACAGCCAGGTGGAAACCAGAGGGTGGGGCCTACGCACTAGCCATCTCCCTGGAGTAGAGAGCTGGTCATTGGGACTGCATAGTCAGAAGGCAAGGCCTTGCCAGGCCTGCCATCTGTCTGTTACAGTTCTGGAGGGTGGAGCCAGCAACAGGAACACCCACCTCATCTTCCTGTGACTCAGCTTGGTGATGGTTCCTGCCAGCATCACCTAAACCCAGGCTCTCCTCTAGGATCTGCAGCTGTGAGACCGTGGTAGAAGACAGGCACCGGGGCATATTCCCAGGAGGAGGGGAGCTGCAGGGAACTGAGAACCTCTTTCCCTTTGACTGGACTGTCAAGGCAGCTTTCTTCCCAACAGTTGGCCTGTCTTGTAACCAGGTTTCTCCTGCCTCTTGTAGAACATGGCAGAGAAGTTTCTGGACGGAGAGCTTCCTCTAGATGCCTTCATTGATGTCTACCAGAGCAAGCGGAAGCTGGCACACATGCGCCGTGTGAAAGTGGAGAAGCTCCAGGAGCTAGTGCTGAAGGGACAGAGACTCCCACAAGCCGGGGCACCAGTGCCACCCAGGGTGCCCGAGCCATTAACTGCCAGCCCCCTATCCTATCCCCCTCTGGAGGCCACTGGGCTCCCTTCTGTCGTGCCTCGGCGCATCCCCCCACCCCCACCCCCAGTGCCTGCAGGACACATAGCCACCCCGTTCACAGCTGCCATGGGCTCAGGACAGGCTTCTCCATACCCAGGATTACAGTGCCCGCCTCTGCCCCCCAGGGTGGGCCTCCCCTCTCAGCAAGGATTCTCTGCACAGTTGGTGTCACCATACCCGCCAGCCCTGCCCCAGAGACCCCCTCCACGGCTGGCTCCGCACCAGCCAGGCTTCATCCTCCAGTGAGCTACGGAGGCTGTTCTTCCTGCAAGACACTCTCTGCCCGCCGTGCCAAGCTCTGCAGACGGAGGCTTTGGAGTCCAGGATCTGGGCCAATGGCTTGGGTGCCCTGGGCCAGTGTGTCCATCTGATTTTAGAACTGTAGGTCCATGGTGAGTAATAGAGAGCGAGTTTTGTGGACCAAGGAAGCTCTGTTCGTGCCAGGCCACAGTCTGGCGCGCCTGCTATCCCATCAGTCTGTGTTCTGGGTGTGATTTCTAAATGTCTAGAATTGACGGACTTGTGCATTTGGGAAGTTTACACCCCCCCCACAAACCCCCTAATTCAGAATCACAGCCCTCATGTTGCAGCTTTATTTAAAAAGCATGGTTAATTATATGTTTTCAAGTCTTGGTCCACCAGCCCCTGTGGTGCTGGTAAAGGCTGGTTTACACTGGCCAGCTAGGAACATATGCCCGAAGCCAGGCCTCGCTGCTGGGCAGCTGTGCTGTTGGTTCAGTCTGTGCTGGGCAGGTCATTACACCCCTCCCTCCCAACAGACTGGATGCTCTCTTGGTTCAAAACTGCGAGCAGAGTTTGCACTTGGCTGCTGTGCAGAGGCCGGGAGAGCTGTGGCTCTGGGTGTGAGGCCAGTGTGAGCTGGACTTTGCACAGTTCAGTCCTCCACCCTCACCTCACACCTCAAGCCTCATGACGGTTTCTGTGAAAAAAATAATACTCAGTGTTTTTACTACACTTGTAATTTTCCTGTTTTATATTTGAAAAGAATACTTTTTTGACACTCTCAAGACCATTCAGGGAATCTTTTTTAAAAACGCAGATACTGTTTAGAGCTGGTAAAAAAATGCAGATTTATTGAGTGCCGCTTCCTGTCAGGCGAGTAGTGCATGGTCGCATCCATCAGTGTCCATGCTGTGCCTTAGCTTCACTTGGTGCCAGGACTCAGACGCCTGCAGTGTGCCAGCCATGGCTGCCCTATTGGGCCCATGGTTAGGCAGGGCCCTGGCAGGCCTCGTTGATAGGTCAGAGAAGGCCCATCACCTTCAACCAGGGCACTCTGGGGCAGCGTTCTGTGCCATGGTGGACAGTCCTGCAGATGCTGGCCAAGGACATGGGAGGAATTTGGGGAGCCCACCTCACAGGGTTGGCAGCAGGAGCTCCTTACTCTCTGGAGTCTCACCTGCAGTCCCAGGGCCCAGCTGGGAAAGGGGCAGCACCCACACCTGTCCCCAGAAAAGGGCTGTGCCCATTGTCACCCTGCCAGCTGGCTGCAACCCAAGGTGATAGAGTCAAGGCAGCGCTGATTTGAGAGCCTGTCCCTGGCAGGGCCACCTTTGTCCCCAACTCCTGTACTCTTGCTCATGGACTTGGACTCTACCCCACTGGAACTACTCTGTAAATTGACAAAGTTGTATGTGCCACCTTAATCCATACCTCTGCCACCAGCTGCCATCGGGAATGCCCACTGCCCAGTCACGGGCGGCAGCCACATGGGAGCTCCAGGTGGATGTGGTAAAGGGGCCGCCAGGCTGACTTTGCCATCACTGCCCAGGGCCTTATCTGGCACCAGGGTTGTAAACCTGTAGAACTCTTAATAAATTGAGAATTATTAATTTCAGTTTGTTGCATTTCTCTTCATTTTTTTTCCCTCAGCCTGCCACTACTTTGCCTGGGGATGTTTGTGACATGGTTCTAGAGTGTCAGTGACCACAGATCCAGCAAGGACAGTGATGGTTACTTGGTTTACAATCAGAAGCCTGATGGCTGGGCATAGGCAGGAGGCATAACAAGTTCCAGGCCAGTGAGGGGTACGCAGACCCATCTCAAAAGAACAAAGTTGTGGTGAATTCTGGATCCCTGGCATTAGCCATAGGATTTCTTTGCTTTGGTTTTTCTAGCTATCCAGAAACTTGTAGACCAGGCTGGCCTCGAACTCAGAGATCTGCCTGCCTCTGGAGTGCTGGTATTAAAGGCGTGCGGCACCACCACCCAGCTAGGCTCTTGTATTTTATAAGCCAGATAGCAGTAACAGAAAATTGATTCTGACATAGGACTGTGTGTTTGGGATTGCAGCCACAGTGCTGGGGCAGAGTGCTGAGGACTTCAAGGCACCAGCTGTCCCTAATCGATACACAGGCCTGTGCAGCTGATGAAATAGGACACTGGCTCTTCATGCATTTCAGGGGCTTAAACATTTTGTGTCAAGGACAGTGTCTCCTCCACTCCAAGCCCCATTGTGTGCTGCCTCATTACGGTGCCTCGTGTACCTTCAGGTACATGCCACCCTTGACTCAGCTGCATGCTTGTTTGTATGTGTCTTCTGCCCTACTAAGCCCTGTTTCTAACCACACATGCCTGCTGCCCCTGGGTGAGCTGTGTACCTTTGTGACCTGTGCTCTATTGACCTTTGCTGAGCTGTGTGTCTGGACAAGGCCGCTACAAGGGATCTGACCCAAGAGCAACCCTGTTTGAGCTGTCCTATGACCGCCTGTGTATCGATTAGGGACAGCTGGTGCCTTGAAGTCCTTAGCACTCTGCCCCAGCACTGTGGCTGCAATCCCAAACACACAGTCCTATGTCAGAAAATGCTCACATACACAGCCCTGTGATGGCACATAGGAGATGCCTGTGGTCATACTAGAAAGAAGGAAGTATGTCCTGAGAAGTCAATTCACCCTGAAAAAAAGAATGATAATTTCTTTCACAGTGGCTGCTAGGAGTTTATAGCCAAATTTGTAGCCCTTCCTTGGTATGTCAGACTTCACAGTAATTTGAGTCTGTTTTTTTTGTTTGTTTTTTTCCATCCGTGTAGGCCAGACTGGCCTCAAACTCAAGAGATTCACCTGCCTTTGCCCCTGAGTTCGGGATTAAAAGTGTGTGATACCACCACCTACCCGATGATTTGAATCTTTATGAACTCACATCTACGGAATCCTTTTTTCCCCCAGGGCCCTCTGATAAGTGGAGCCAGAGGATGGTGAATGATTTGGAGGTGCAGGATTGACTTCCAGTGTAGGACACGGGTGGTGATTAGTCTCCAGTTCCAGGTTGGAGCCCCAGGATGCAAGGTCAGACCCTTTGGGTCACTAGCTAGCTCAGACCAATTTTGTCTGGCTTGTAAATATGAATACTCTTCAAGTGTTTGAAGTTCTATAAAAAACATGATTCCATTAGCTTCATACTTGCAAAGCACTTGAACAAGGCTTCCACCTGCTGCCAAGTAAGCTTGGCTGAGCCAACAGAATACACTGTTCTTGTATCCTATAAATGCTGAGTGTGGGGATGAGGGCCCCGTTCCCAAGCCACCTGTTGGGGCTGCAAGTTGAGTGGTGATCTCTGGGACCTGGAGTGCGTGGCATGGAGGTCAAGGTCCTCACCCACCAGCTCAAACCCTAGAAGTCTGTGTAACCAAGGACAAACGGTCTCAGATGTGGTGCCCTGGTGTTAACTGGTAAGGCCATAGGGAGAGTGCAGGAATTCCAGGCTGGAATAACAGTGGCTTCATTTAGGAAGGCCATGGGGGGATGGAATGGCCTCCCTAGTTGAGCCTGTAGTAAAGGATGGCCCATGCTATATCAATCTACAGGAAGACTGGTACTTGGTGCCAGCCACCAGCTACACTAGCAAGGTTCCTGGTGTCCTCAGGTTCTAGTGTCAACTGCAGACACTTGCACAGGGCCAGACAACTGTGTGTATCTCTGGAGAAATGAAAAGCCTGGCATGGGCCCTCACCAGGGCACTGGTGACAAGTCAGTGTTTTATTGCCAGTGGAACTCAAACACAGGGACTACTAGACACAGGGCAAAGGAGTTGGCTCCCCCACAGACCCGGACCTTGGCCTGTGGTTGGTAGCCTTCCCAGGGTACAGGGCAGGCAGCTGGAGGGAAACTGGGCACTTATCCAGTCGGGCTGCTGTCTATTGGTGGCCTGGATATTCCCCACCCCCAACTATTCACCCTCAGGTTCAAGAAACACAAATTTATTCAAACTGTCATGGGCAGGCAAGGCCAGGCCTCCAAGTCTGGGCTGCTCCACCGGAGGGCCCCATAGGAATTCTTGAGCCCCCAGAAAAGTGGGTTGTGGCTTCTGTTTTTGCTTTTTTTTTTTTTTTTTTTTTTTTTTTTTTTTTTGCTTCTTACTGAGCTGAAAGGGCTCAGCTTTAGGAGGTCTGAAATCTACCCATGAAGGAAGGTAATAAACAGCCACACTAGTGAAGGCAGCCAGGCCAGGAGAGCAGAAAACAGGAAGAGGGAGGGTGGCTGCAGAGTTGGGCTGGGAATGGAAACTCAAGAGCCGCAGCAGCATCTGAGCCAGGGCTGCCCCAGGCACAGCCCAGCAGTGGCCCCAGACAATGCCTGGTTTCCTGGGGCTCCAAGCATGCCTTAGCACCAGGCCCCCAGTGGATGGCAGCCTAGCCCACCTGCTCTCCCTTGAGGGCCACAGGTCATCCCTTTGTCCCCCAAAGCCAGCAGGGGACCCTCTCCTGTTTAGTTATAGCCTCAGACTTTTTTTGAGGTCAGAGGCAGGGAGGCTCCTGACACCCGTGGCCTTTCTCCAGCGTGCTGACGAGACTTAGAAGAGAACACAAAAATCAAACCATTCCAGATGTTTGCTGCAGTTGTGGCTCAGGCCTGCTGGGTCCGGCTGCTCTGAGCAGTTCCTACTAAAGAGAAATGAGACTCAAATCCAGATGAACTATCCCATGGAGTGAAGGCTGCTTTGGGCTCTAGGTGCAGGAGTTGGAAGCCTCTCAGAGGCCCCCTTGCCCATTGCCAGATAGCTACACGAGGCTCAGGCACGACCACCAGCCATCCTGCTGAACACCTCAGAGGGCCTAGTAGTTCACGAGTTGAGCTGGGTAGACACCATCCTTTTTGTTGAGCTGCAGGGGTCAAAGATGAGGGGCTCAGGAGATGATGCCAGAAGCACGTGTATCATCCAGGTGCCACATTGGCACACACGCACCCCTCCCTAACCCAGCACTGATGCCTCGCACCTGGTTGTCTGGCCTGGGGGCTATGCTGGGTTTCTGGGCCAAGGGTGGCTTCTTGGTGGCTGAACTTCGGGGAGCTGGGCTGGGTCGGCTGGGTTCTTCCTCACCTGGTGTCCCCATCACCCCGGCCAGTACATAGTGCTGTTTGCGAAGCTCCCCAAGCCGCACGCGCTCTGCCTCCAGTGTCTTCTCCAGCTCCAAGACTCGCACCTATAGGCAGGCCGCAAAGACAGTCAGCACTGTCCCAGGAGGGGGCCTGGCAGCTGGGGCATGAAAGAACTCACCTGTGTCTCCATCTCCTGCTTCTTCAACTTGATGAGGGACAGGCCGGAGAAATCCATGGTGTCTAATGGGGAGAGGGGGTGTAAGCTGAGTGAGCTCTCCCACCAGCTCTGGGAAGCCCCTTTGAGTACCCCAAGCACTCGCCTCTGTCCTCGATCTGCTCCTGGCCTGATTTGGTGGAGGCCACCACGTTGGCCGCCCTCTCATTGACAGTGCGGGAGCACTCCTGCAGGCGGCTCAGGTGAGGACTATGCTTGTCAGCTTTTACCTGCAGGGAGCAGAGTGGGCACAGATTTGCTGGCCATAGGAAGCTGGTGAGGGCCCCAAGCCCAGGCCTGACACAAAGCCTGGGGTAGCAGACATCAGTACAGCCTTGCTCACCTTTGAGGCTGCCACAAGCTGGGCTGTGCTGGCTGCAATCTCATGTGAGCAGACGATGAGTTCCTCGTATTTGCCCGTGTGAAGCACCACCTTGTCAGCCGACTCCCTGAGGGGTGGGGACCCAGAGCTTGGGTCTCTGCGCCATGAACAGTAGGGCAACCCCACACACCAGACCTTAGCACCTACCCACCCCACCCCCACCTGGGGCAACATACACTAACTGTGTGGCTCCCCAGCCCACTGCCTTAGAGGCAGAGATGAGGCCCTCAGTCCACCGTGAATTCTTGGCATAAAATTCCTGCTGCGTGGCTGCCCCCTGGTGGTGATGAAAGGACAAGACAGTATCAAGGCCATTTCAAGTAGGAAATGGATACCCAGAGGGTGTACCCTGAAACACAAGGCATATCCCTGAAGCCTCCCTGAGGTGTGGGCATTTTTTAGCTGTGGCAACAGACACTGTATGATTGGGGGTGTCATGCACAAAGGGGTCAGGGGCTCTGAGCTTATGTCTCTTGCTGGCCCAGCCAGGGAGGCTGCCAGCCCATAGCCTGTCCTGCTCACCCTGCCGCTCTCCACGATTTCCTTCTGCAGACTGGTGGAGGTCATCACAAGGAGCCGGATGGCCTGCCAAAACCAAAATGTGACTCTCTAGGTGGTCCCAGCACAGAGCCTTCCGGGGGGGGGGGGGTCACCCACCCCCCGCACTCACCTTCATAAGATCTGTGCAAGAGTTGAGGATCCTGGGGAGGTACAGAAAGAGAAGACAGCTCTGTAGTGTGGCCTTGTGACATCACGCAAGGCTCAGCCGCAGCAGGCCAGGGGATCTGTGCAGCCTCATGCCCAGTCCCCTTTCTGGCCAGCTCAATAGTCAGGAATGCTCCATGCTGAGGCTTTGGGTACAGAAGCAGTACACACCTCTCATTCACCTCCAGTTTCACTCCTGAGCTCTCATGGCGGGCCTG